CACCTTCCAGAATGGAGTATGGACCAGACAAACTATTATATTCTCCCTAAAATACCCGTTCCTCCTAGAAAATTAAAAATACTACCAAAAACTACATCCCCAGATGACCTTTGAAACAATTCCCTTATATCTAGTTTATTTTTATTCCTGTCTAACTCTATGCAACATCTCTCTTTCCTGAGTATATTTATTACATTCTAAAAAAATATGTTGGACAGTTTCTCTGGAGCCGAGGTATTGCATTGAACTCATTACACTGATATTGTGCAGTATTTTTGCAGTATTTTTTGATGCAACTTTTCTACTTCTGTTATTTGCTGTTGTTTCTTAAGAAAATGCATAATGATATTACAGCTTTCATTGATTTATTTCAAACTTGAAACTTTTTTTAGCCTGTAAGTTGTAAAAAAAATAATAATAAAAAAAAAATAAATAACCGATTAATCGATTAATCGAATCGAATCGTGGTGTATTCTTGAGTATCGAAAATAATCGAATCGTTGGGTCAGGAAATCGATACAGAATCGGATCGCCATGATGGATGTGATTTACACCCCTACTGCACACTCCCTGTGCCACACAGTCATTAATAAAATCCGTTGCATTCCACTGACCTGTCTGAGTTGTTTCCTGGGTCCAATTTCCTGTACGTTACAGATTCTCCACACTTCAACTGCCAAGTTCATTATACGGACAACATGAGAACCACAGCACAATTAATAAAGATCTTACAGCATGTTAAATGAGAATTTCTAATATAAAGCTAAGACTTGGTGTCCAATCTTTGATTGTTTACTGTATATTCCATTTGTCTGTAAGGGTCCACGGATAAAACGTAATCCAGCATATTTGTAATAAAAACATTCCATGATGAGACACACATCAGTGTGTGAGTGTGTGCGTGAATGGCTGAATGAATGTAGTGTAAAGCGCTTTGGTCAAGTCTCCTAACTTGAATAAAGGCGCTATTTAAGTACATGCCATTTACCATTTACATAAAGTCAGTTTTTACCACCAGAAAAGTTTGATCCTTATAGCTAATACTGACCGTCTTGCTAATTACCCTAGCTTCGAAAAAAGGCTTTCTTTGCTCCAGTTTACACAAAAGAGTGAACAAATAGCTCAAAAAAGGAACAAACAACCGTGGGAGTACTTCGTATGCTTCAGTGTAATGGCAGACCGCTAGTCAAACAGAGTATGCATTACGCTTGGAGCTTGCATAAATAACATCATGGCGGCATATATAGAAAGTGTTTGATTGACAAACGATTAGCCAATCCACTTTCGACAGTAGGCAAAATGGATTGTCTATATTGTCAACTAATAATTCATTTTAGATTAATCTGGACACTTAATTTCTGAGAAAAATCCTCTTTAATACCTTTAAGCAACTGAAGAGTGAGAGCTACAACGCAAGCAGCAAAAACACTTTTTAAAAAACAAAAACTTTCAAAGAAAAAAGAACATTGTTTGGTATTATGTGTTTGCTTATATCATTTTCTTTTTAGTTAACATGATTTACTCTTTAAATGACTGTTTACATTGCTAACATACTGTACAAATTAATACCTAAATGATCATAAAACCCACACAAACAATCAAACCCATCACAATACTTATAATATTATATAGCCTATCAGTCTCAGGATATGGTCAGGGTAAGAAGGGCTGAAGCTTGGTTAGTGTTTCTGTCTGCTAACTCCTAAGCCATGAACAACCCGGTTTCCGTCATTGAAAGAACTCCCTAACACCATGACATTTTTAACTCCATTTACACATACCTAGTGGTGCCACTTAGCTAAAAATTTTAGTTTTCCCACTCACATCATCTTTCTGAGTAATTTATGAAGTATCTGATGTAACACGGGTGGCAGAGAGCAGTGTAGGTCAGAGGAGTGTGTCTCTATCAACCATGACAGCAGCTCATGGGGAGCTGAGGAGGTCTTGCTTAAAACTGTTTGGACAATTTAGTAGGCTTTAAAAGATTAGGTATTTTATTTTGTTATGTTTTTGTTAGATTTAGTGCTGATGTGTGTTACACATGTGCATATTGGACATTTATGAAAATACAGGACAAATGGCATCTGTTATTGGTTCAATACAAGGCAAAATGTTTAACTGCCCAGTAAGGGATGATTCCATATTAAAAGCGCGCGTCACAGCCCTACAACCCACAACCCATCCTTCAGTAGGACAGATGGTCACCTTTTAAAAGCAAGTGGATAGACATTGCTGACCAAGAAGGATATTGGAGGTGGGAACTAATTATTAAACTCTTAACATATAAAGGTAGATACAGCCTTAGCGATATTTCTGAATAGTAAAAATGTGATTTAGTTCATTTGCATATTATCTCTCATGAGAAATGAGAATGCAATTTTTGCAGTCAGATTTTCTATGGGGTTTGTTATAAAATCAATTCAGGGATTTATTTGGTTTACTGAAATAAATCCCAAGCCAAAATTTGAAAACCATGACTTAACACAGTTAAAACACCCATCTGGAACCAAAAACCTTTAAAAACATCTGCTCATGAAATCTTTCATCAAGGTTCCTTAGGACGGTGAGAGTATGGAGAATATATGAAGAGATAGACAGAGGTTGAAACCTTTTTCTATATGAATCCAAAATGCTAATATGGGACAATTTTTTTTTTCCTATCTCAATAAATCCTTAAAATTAAACATTAGCTTGTTTTAACAAACCATTAATTGTCATTAAAGGTTTCCTACAAATCAATCTATCCCAACCTCTTATTGATGAATCCTTCGTTCCTTCTTAGCTACATCAAGATCTCTGATCATTGCTATAGCAACAATATTCTTCTAAATGATCTTTACAATCCTTGTGTCAAAACAGTCTAGCTGCACTGAGTTGCATGACCTTTTATCTGAAACAACATCGAGCAGGTGCCATAACATCCAGCTACACCTCTGGATTTCAGATTCCCTGCTTTATGAAGAGCTTATTCTTTTCATAATAGTTCGAGGCCACTGTGTGTAAATGCGTCTTTGTAATGTCCTTTGGGAAAAAAGGATAACTTGGAAGTGAACATTTAGCATTCTAAAGGTTACAGTTCTAGTATCATGCCTGACACTTCAAGTTATATTGTTCGACTTAATGTGACACACCAACAGAAAGCAGTGTATCATTGTGAGGTGAAGGGAAAATATTATCTGGGATACATATAAATCGTGTGGTATACAGAAGTTTCACCCCCTTTTTTTAGTCTAACACCTCTGAACTAATTCCATTGCACAGTGTGTTTAGTATCACAGAGGTTTAGTAAAGAAAACACAAAAAAAAAAACCTTAAGGCCCAAACATTTAATGGCTAAGGGACACATTTGGCACGTCAGGGAATCTAACCCTTGTAGAAGAATGATGAGACAACAAAATCATGGAAGAAATTCATGATATCCTATTAGGAATTAGGCACTGGTCATGTAGTGCACATATGGAAGGTAATGCTCAGGTCACAGCAGACTTAAAATATAACACCTCAGATCACCCTGAACATGCCGTCCATACCACTACCAGAGAGCAGCAACATCAGACTGAAGGAATACTTTATATCTCAAGCAATAGAAAAATGGGTCAGATTTATGGGGAGAATGGATAGAGTTGAAAGAAAGACAAGCCTTAAAATATAAAAAAAAACAGTTTCAGTTCCACTTTTATTCATAGCTTTCTGTGTTTTCTACTTTTTGGTTTCATTTCCATTTTGTGTCAGTGAATTTTGATAGTATTTGAGTTCTTAGGTATTGTTTGCCCTCTGCTGCCTTCTTCTGTCAGTCTCTTTTTTCCCCTAGCTCCCTTCTAGTCTCCTCTGTCCACACCTGCTCCCAATCTGCTGATAGTCTGGTCTTTGTTCAGTCTCCCATCTTTACACCTCATGTTCAGTCACTGTTTGCTGGTCCCTTGTTGTAGTTTTGTTGCTTTGTCGTCTCTGCTCCCCGTGAGAGTTTTTTCATGAAGTGTCCTTGATTTTTTTTTCAGTATTGTATGTCTCTGCCTACTCATCTGTGCATTTGGGTCCTCAAAAAACCTCCACACAACCTTGCCAGATCTGAGTCTGGGTCAAGCTTTTACCTTACAGAAGAACGACTCTAAACATACTGCCAGAACTGGTTTGGATGAAAACATGGGCTACTAATCTGTAGGAACGGTCCAAATTAAAACAATGGACAATCAGTGGGAGCTGATCAAAACAACATCAAAACATTTCAGTCATTTAAAGAAGAATCATAATATCATAATAGTCATAATATCAGCCTCCGCACTTGCAAAGCTGGCTGAAACATATGTCATGTACACACATTGACTTAGTCTGATTTCTACACATAATTCAACATGTGTTGAATAATTGGTGTTACATCAAACATATCAGGAAGATATATACTTACCTCTTTCATTTGCCGGTGCCACATAAATGAAACTTCGGCATTTTTCACCTGAAAAACAATGTAAATGAGACATTTAACTGACAGCAAAAGGCAGCTTAGACATTCCTACAATATAGCTATAAATAAAACTGGGAAGTCATTGGTATTCTGGCATATCCTGCTAGATTGATATGGGGAGAAACAGGTGGACTGTGTCATAAGGGATACACCTCTGATATGAAAACAAAAAGAAGAAATCTCAGAATTATCCAATTTGTCCAGAGATTTGCTTTCTGCCTCCATCCTTCCCTTTGTGGATGTCTGTAGCAGAAGCATTGTCAAGACAAAAAAAAGGCTTTCCTGGTATCTAAAGTGAGAAAGGCTTTCTGTAATGTCAGATAGACAGATCCATAATCAAAGTTTCACAAATCTCTGTTGAACGGTTCTGTTTTTCAAACAATAAACTAAGAGGCCAAAAATCAGTAGTGTTTAAAGAATAGGGCTACTTTGCCCTTAATAGATCATTTTCTGTAAGAATTGTCTTCAAAGGGTTTCATTTGTTTAATGACCATTTTATCAGAAATAAATTAATTATCAAAATATCTAATTTTAAGTTTGCTTTTCCAAGTCCAGATGATTAACATGTTTTAAGCGTTTAAAATTCACTTTACATGATAAACTTGCATTTAAAAATAGTTGTTAAACCAATCTCACCAAATGTTGGACGTTTTTTCAATATTCAGTGTTTATTCCAACAGTATATATTCATGTAAATTGCTCCTGACTCCAAAGAACACGCTTTTGTTCAATCTATCTGTCACTGTCTTGGTTCTGATATGTTTTCTTTTGAGTATTCAGTTTTACTTTGCTCAATACTTTCCAGTTTTCTTGGTTTAATTCCTATTTTTTTATGTTTTCTGGTTACAGTTCAGTTCTAAGGTTATTTGTCGCACTCTGTTGCCTTCTTTTGTTGGTCTCCTTTTTCCTAGCTCCTTTCTAGACTGCTGTCTTCAAACCTGCTCCCAATTAGCTCGTTAGTCCTCTCTTTGTACAGTCTTCCATAAATACTCTCCCTGTGCAGTTCCTCAGTGCTGGTTCCTCGTCTTACTTCATCATACCTTGTCTTACTTTGTGATTGTTTTCCCCCTGATGTCTCCAAGGTTCTGGTTTGTTTTACTTTTTTCATGTTGGATTTTTGGATTCCTGCTCCAGTTGTTTGTGAACCTCTCATTAAATCTACAAAAAACTCACCTCTGGCTCCCTGTCTCAACATTTGGGTCCTCAAACCTCAACCAAACTCTGACACTATCTCTCATTTAGCTCTTAACTCCTCAGAAATCTCCTATGTATTTTTCAACAGAATTGTGAAAAAACACTAAATAAATAAATTGTTCAACTTTCAAAATCCAATTATTCACCCCCCCCCAGCTTTATATTGTAATTACACTGCCATAAGTACAAAGCAATGAAATTAACTCTCTGCATTTAATCCATCCGTTTGGGGTGCAGTGGGCTGCCATTGCATGGCGCCCTGGAAGCAGTGAGGGGTTAAGGGTCTTGCTCAGGGACCCAGAGTGTCAGTCTGTGGGAGGGGGGCTTCAACTCAGAATTTCTGGATTCCAAGTGCAATGCCCTGAACCACTAGACCACCACTACCTCTAGTTTTTTTTCTAATAGATTCTGTTTTCTCTTTTTTTTGTGTGTGTGATTGTTTTCCATCAAATTGTAAATTTTTGCTTCGTTATAGACTCTTTATTACTACTTTATTATATCTTTTTTAAAATATTGCTCTATTTTGTATAATTACGGGATGATTGTTTGTAATTTAATTGATTTTGGTCGAAGTTCTATTTTGCCTGGGATCTCAGATCTGTAGGTCAGCCAAAACATTTCCAACATGTTAACATCAGTCTTGAGCGTCAGGAGCGGGTTTTCTCCTCTGATTTACCAGCACGCTGCAGTTTATAAGATCGACACAGCAGAACATAAAGGAGAGGTTTGTATTGAACAAAGAAAATACTCAATTTGATTCACATTTAACTAAACCTAGAAGGATTATGTAGTGACTAGTATTAGTCCGGTTATCAGTTTTTATTCACTTCTAACATTTTCAACTTTTCTAAAATCAAAATGATTTTGGTTCCACTAAATATCAACATGTTTTTCTGGAAGTTTGCCGCTGTGTGCCAGGATCTGTGACGCAGCGCTCTGCGCGCACAGCCCGCGCGCCATCCCCAGCTGATCCAGCCGCATCCAGACGGGCTCACCTGTCATGTTGATGTTCTGCTCGCAGGAGAACCAGATGCCGGTGTGAAACCTCCTCATCACATACTTGTCCTCCCCGGTCTCCCAGATGTATTGCACCAGACGCGTGTCGTTGATGTTGGAGCTGTTGAACATGATGCAAAACGCCTGCTTGGTGGTGACCGGACCGGTGCAGAATGGCTTCACCACCTTCCGCGTCCCCTCGCACCAGTAGCTGGTGGTGAGAGCCGACACGGCGAGCAACAGGGCCAGGAAGTTCAAGGTGAGAGCCAGGGAGGCTCTGCGCCGCCGGTCGATCCCCATGACAGTCGGAGCGCAGTTAGAGGAGTGAGGGCTCCTGGAACTTAATCCTCACCCACCTCCCACTGTGTGTGACACCGGATTCAGGCGACTTCCTCTCAAATCCTCATAATCCCGTTATTCCCGTTAACGTCCCCTCCGCTAATTAATGTCTGCTTCCATCGGATCGACCATCACATCTGCTGCTCTTCCAGCGCAGTTTCTCTCATATGTATCCCACACACCCACTCCCACCTACACACACACCCAACCTTATCTGAGCTTCATGCCATTGAGAAAATGAGGAGCGGGTCTCCTGTGAACCACGACGATGCTGACTGAGAATAAAGATACCCACCCATGTGTGTATTCTGGTCTGGCACATTTGGGCAGACATCCAGGGGGTAATTAAGTTGGGGTGCAAAACCAAGGTAAAAGCCTTTCTCCTTGGCTCTACCTTTCTCATACCTCATCCAAAATAGTAAGGTTATCCTGAGCTACTTTCTATATATATGCTGCTATATGTTTAAGCTGCTGGAAGACATGGGGACCACTTTTCCAACATGTTATTATCAGTCTTGAGTGTCAGGAGCGGGCTTTCTCCACTGGTTTAATAGAAACAGTAGAAACACAGTCGAATATAATAGAGTAGTTTATACTCATGGATGCACACGTTTATACAAATGTAACAAAACCTAGTTAAATTGCAATATTGGTCCAGGTCTCACTTAAAAAAAAAAAAAAATAATATTTCTAAAACCAACCTTTCCAAAATAAAGATTATTTAGGCTCCACCAAATATGGAAAAATTGTTTTTCTCAGAGTTTGTGGCAGGATATCGCAACATTTGAGTGCACAGCCCACACAGTGACTAGATTCAATCAGCTGGTTTTCATTGATAAAAACTTAATGTGCATTGAGATAACGTTTGGTGAATTTGCATTATATAAATAAGCTGTATGGAGCTGAATTGAATAAACACTAAAAAAAATATGGTATGTATTTTTGGTTGTTGTGCAAGACAGATGATGATATTATAGTAAATGATTAGTAAACCTTGGCTACAGTCGGGGTGCTGTCTGATTGGTCATGCATTTCTGCTCTGAGTTAATCTTTTCTCATAGACTCTTGCAATAAGTCATCCACGCTCCTGTGCAAGAAAAGCATATATTGTGTTATTTTTAACATAGCACCACCATACACAGGGAAACAGCATCACAAAGTAGGATTGAAGTTGAAAGAGAAAGAAGCAATATGGGGGAGTTGAGCAAGTACGACCCTAAACAGTTGCTAACCTAGACCTAATCTAGACAGATAAAGCTTGGCTAACTACATGTGTAGAGGCTGAAGCTTTATTGCTCTTTCTCTGATTCTTTTCCTTAATCCTAGGATCTAGCTGAGAATGGGCTACAAAGGCTGATTTAAAGCACTTTTCAGATAATGAAGCAAAGCTTACTGGGAGCTTACAAACTTAGAAGAGATAAACAGGTGAATATTATCTACATAAGTGTCAAAAAAGTAATTGAAAAAGACAGAATGATCCATGTGGAAACCTGGCCAGATTTGAGAGGCTATTTTAGAATGGACTTTGTGTTCTATAGATGAAGTCTCCCCAAAAAAGTAATAAAAACTAATCAGAGCCAGAACTAAAAACAGAAGACTGTTGATTATTCAACAAGTTACAGTCAAATTAAACTCTAAAATCCTTTGTCTAATGCTGAGACACACTTAGGTGTTTGGACAAAGTTTTGGTTTAGAGGTGAGTGCACTTATAATTACAGGTTGTTGGTTTTTAAAGTATATTTTCCCTAAACTATGTTTGCTTTTTCACTTAAATTAGAAGAATTAATCTCACATCAAAATTACAAAAGGATTTTAAATAATCTCCCTTTCTTTATGTGCTTTGAATTTTAGCGGAAGAGAGGACATCTAAGAGAGATGCCATGCCTTTCTGTGCTTCGATATCTAGTTTATTTTTGACCAATTTGCCACCATAGAAGGTCAATCTATTAAAGAAGGAAAATCTAATCACTGACAGCCAAAGTTTATCAGTCTGTAAGCTGACAGACCAGTGTTTTTTTAATTGCTACCAGGGGAACTGGGCTGCTGCTATTGAATGGAGGTGGGAAGGAGAGTTTTTTGTGCGTCATGGTGATACTTAGCAGGAATACAAAGGTGGAGAAACTATTGCTGTATCTCAAGGTGATAAAACTCTCTGTCTTGAGTCACTGCTTGCAACACTTTTTCCATGCACAATTTCACTTTAATATATAGAATATATCTGGAAGGGTCATGCATTTCAGCATTCATATACTGAATACAATAGATTTATTCTACAGAGGGATTGTAATTTCTGCCAATCTTGATGATTAGGAGTTACAGTTTATGAAAACCAAAAAAAAAAGCTTCACAGTTTTTTATATATTAAATCAATTCAGTGAAAAAGTCTTTTTTTTATTTTTTTTTTTTTTTTTTTACATAGTTTATTTTATAGCCATATAATGTTGGACATAATCGTCTTAGTGAAAACTGCTTACTTTTCAATCCTCCACAGATTAAATCCTCAAAACTGTTTGCCACATAAGGCCTTCGTTAAAGAAGTCAACTGTTAGATGTTTTCATGCACATGAATGGAAGTTGAGGGATGAAAAAAGTGTGGTGGAAAAAGTGCAAAAGCTGGGGCGTGCAGGTGGCGTAGAGGTTGGTGCTCACGACCCATGTACAGAGCCCTTAGTCCTTGACACGGCCGACCCAGGTTTGAAACCGAACTGTGGCCATTAAAA